GGCACTAGCCAGTTTTACACCCCCTAATAACCAACCCCGGGGGGGGGTGTTTGGAGGTACCGGTGACGACGTGATCGTGCTCGAGGGAGACTACTTCTCGGATATTTACGGCAAATCAGGCGAAGATAAGATCACCATCATTGGAAACGAGGCGAAGAACGTCAATGGCGACTTGCCCCGCGGCGAGCCGCAGACGCGCCGCTCCCTACCCCCCCCATCCCCTCCCCCTTTGAGAGATTTATCCCCAAGGGCTCCCGACGCCGCGTTCAGCGCGACGTCGCTGCCCCACGCCAACGGCCTCGCCAAGCCGCCGCGGCGCTCCACCACCGCGGGCCGAGCAAAACTCGCGCCCGCCGCCGATCGAGGTAACACTACGATTCGTTGCTCGACAAGCGGCAGCGCTTGCGTCGGTTGAACATGAGAAGCTCCCACCGTGCATCGCGAGGCCACGCGTGAGCCTTCGGCGAGGCGCGTCCGCCGCGCGCCATCCCCGGCACGGCGGGCCACGGCCGACGCGCTCGGCGCGAACACGCGATTGCGATCGTACTACTAGTAGTAAAGTTTTAGCCTTTCAAGAGCCTCCGAGTGCGTAGCGTCCCCGATCGAGAGCCAAGCTCCGCGGGCCGCGTCAGGAGCCGAGCTCCGCGCCAGGGACGTCCGGTAAGGTATAGTATCAATATCACCTAATAAAAAACTGAAATCCTGGAATTTAAAAAAACTTTGAAAAACCTGAATGGTATTTCCACGATGTTTTCACGGCTAAAGCCCGACCCTTTCTGGATTGTGTTTTATATCCTATTTTTTTTGAAAAAATCTGAAAATCCAAGAATTTTAAACTACCTCGAAAAAACAAGTAGTTTTATAGAAAGAGAAACAATGACGGTAAAAAATGGCAATTTTAGGATAAATTGGAGCAGAAAGTCAAAAGAAAGGTAAGAAGCGTTCAATTGGCTGTTTTAGTAAGGTGAAAAAGTGTAGAAATGGATGTTTTAGGAATACCCTAAAAAATCCACCCGGGCGAGAAAGCAGTACAAGCCGCCTCTATGCCTCTATGCCGCGGCCGCCTCGGCGCCCCCGGCCTAGGCCGCCGCGGCGACGCGCTCGTCGATGAGCGGGTCCGCGGAGACGCCCGTGGGCTTCGTCGACGCGGGCCCGTCGGCCCAGACGTAGTAGCCCTCGCCGTTCTTGCGGCCGAGCTTGTTCTCGGCGACCTTCTTGGCGAGGCTCGGCGGCACGGCGAAGGCCTGCTCCTCCGGGTAGTCCGCGGCCCAGCCGGCGAGGATCGAGTGGCACGTGTCGAGGCCGACGTAGTCCGCGAGCTGGATGGGCCCCATGGGGTGGCCCGCGCCGAGCATCATGGCCGCGTCGACGTCGGCGACCGTCGCGTCGCCGCGCTCGACCATGGCCAGCGCCGCGGAGATGTTCGGGATGAGCAGGCGGTTGACGATGAAGCCGGGCGTGTCGATGCACGAGACCGTCGTCTTGCCCGTCGCCCGGGCCCAGCCGTCGACGAGGTCGAAGACCGCCGGGTCCGTGTGGTCCGTCTTGACGACCTCGACGAGGCGCATGAGCTGCACGGGGTTGAAGTAGTGCAGGCCGACGAAGCGGTCCGGCCGCCCGCTCGCGACCGCCATCGGCGTGACCTTGAGCGAGCTCGTGTTGCTCGCGAAGATGGCGCCGGGCTTGATGCGGCCGCCGAGGTCCGCGTAGAACTTCGCCTTGACGCCCGCGTCCTCGACGATGGCCTCGACGACGAGGTCGCAGTCGGCGAGCGCGTCGACGCTGTCCGCGTACGAGAGGTTCGCCAGCGTCGCCGCGACGGCCGCGTCGGCGTCGAAGGCCGGGTCCTTCTTCGCCTTGCGCGCGTTGAGCTTCCCGACGCTCGTCTCGATGGCCCTGCGGCCGCTGGCGAGCACCTCGGCGTTGAGGTCCACGCCGATGACGGCCGTGCCCGCGGCGGCGGAGATCTGAGCGATGCCGTGGCCCATGAGGCCCATGCCCACGACGCCGACCTTGGCGATCTCGCCCACGGGCGGCGCGGAGCTGAAGCAGCGGCGCGAGAGGGACCGGAGGGCCATGGTGTCGTGCGGCGACTGGGGCGTCGGCGGCAGCACTCGGTACTCGAGCTCGAGGAAGACTTCAGGAGACTGTGGCAGAATTCTTACTGCTCGCTGAACTGCACAGTGTCGTCAATGTAGGCGTCCAGGCTCTCTACAGGCTCGACCTGGTCAACGTACCGCACGCACCCTACGCCACCTTATCGTCCCGACTCCCGTGGCTGCCCGTGCGCACGTCCACGGGCGGCGCGTCCAGCCGCGGGTCGCGCGCCGCGGCCGCGGCCCAGAGCGGCTCGCCGCGGAGCGCGCGCGCGAGCTCGCCCTCCAACGGCGCCAGCAGCGACACCGCCTCGCCGTCGACGTCGTCGAGCGAGATCGCGAGGCAGTGCAGCGCCAGGCGATCCAGACCCCGCTCCTCGCGCCACCAGCGGTTGACCCTCGAGTCGCCGTGCTTCGAGTCGCCGATGACCGGCATCGACAGGTGCTGCGCGTGCCGGCGGATCTGGTGCGGCCGCCCCGTCGCCGGCGCCGCGATGCACAGCGTGCAGCGCGGCTCCTCCTGCGACGCGAGGTAGCGGAACACGGTCCGCGCGTCGCGCGGCGCGCCGTCGTCGCCCTTCACGGGCTTCTCGACGACGACGTCCGCGCCGCCCTCGCCGGGCCAGTCGCCGCCGCGCAGCAGGCAGAGGTACTCCTTCGTGCCCGCCGCGAGCGCGTCGTGCGCCTTGCCCGCCGTCGGCCCGTCGAAGCCGAAGAGCAGCGCGCCGGACGTCCGGTGGTCGAGCCGGTGCGCGGGAAACACCTTCCGCCGGAACTGGCGCTGGAGCTGCGTCGTCACGACGCGCCGCCGGCCCGTGTCCTTGTTGCGGTGCACGGAGATGCCGGCGGGCTTGTTCACGGCCACGAAGCGGTCGCTGTAGTGGAGC